ACACACGACTTGCTTCTCACCCTGTGTGGTGGTTATGTTTGTGTGTCAACTTGGCTGGGCCTGGTTAAGTGGCTGAGCAGCTGGTGGTAGTATTCCCCATGATGAGACTGGTAATGAACTCCATGGTGGAATCTACTGTGAGCAGCTGAGTAGCTGCCTTTGGGTATGTGGTCTGCTTCCTGTATATAAGGAGATGCTTTGAGAATGGTCTCTAGCCTATGGCACGCTTGGACCCTGCATGTAGCCATGTTATTGCTCAGCACCCTGTTATGCTCTGCTGACCTTGGGACTTACAATGGACTTAAGTTAATGGTCTGCCATGTGGTTAAGTAACATTGGGATTGTGCCTTTTTACTTGTCAACCTTGGGGCTTCTCAGCCTCAGCAGCCAGCAGCTGTCTGAGTGAAGAAATGCCTCTAGCTCCAATGGGCTGGGCAGGAGGCAGAGCTGGACCCCTCAGGGTTTTCACTCAGCCCCTAGGGCCTGGCACTTTGAACTTGGACTTAAAGCCTCCAAATTGTAAGAATAAACTCCTGTTTGTTAAGGCCATCCCATTTGTGGTATATTTCCTGTCAGAGCAGCACCAGGTAACCAGAACATCCTGACTGCATTTTTCCTGTTCCCGTAGCTTGACTCTTGCTAGTCCGCCTGCCTGGAGGCCCCTCTTCCTTGCAGTAAGTCAGAGTCAGGGACACTGAGAGCTGGTAGGACTACGAGGAGTGGTTGTCTGGCTCCTCATTACAAAACAGGCAAACCAAGACCCAGAGAGAAAAGACGACCCCATCCTAGGCCTCATAACAGTTTCGTGGCCTAGTCAGGACTGAGGTCTCCTGACCGAGCTCTGGACTCCTTCTGGTGCCTCACTGCCACCACCCATGCAGAGGACCCCACTGCTCCCTCTGCATGCAGTGCCCAGGACAGAAAGGCACTGAGGAGAAAAGTGGGAAATACATATACAAATAGATGAGTGATGGGCCCCCCTCACACTGAACTTCATGTCCATTATGAAGTGGTTAGTGCCTACACTGGGCCTGGGGCCACCTGCCTGGGATGGAGTCTTGGCTTTTCTCCTTAATAGCTGGGAGACCATCCCATTGCTCAGCCTCAGCTTGCCTATCTGTACCCATACTGTTGCAGCTGGGGTGAATGTACATCTCAAATATCAAGGTCACAGCCCCATTCCTGGACAGTACCAAGGCCCTGGTGTTTCAGCTGAAGCGTTTGGTGATGTATGTGGTATTGGAAGGGGCCCTTGACATTTATCCTCCCAACCGCCACCCACATGCCATCAGCCAAATCATTGAGGCTTGGCTCTGAATTTACTGGGTGTCCCATGGCCTGGGGTCCCCTGAGGGACTACTGATCCCAGCCTGGACAACCTGCCATGGAATCCTCTTCCAGAACTCACTCCTCACATCCTCATATTGGGAAATTGCCACCACCCATCATTTCTTTCCCCTCCCCTCTCTGAGTTTACATGTTCCCCCCACACCCCATGATTTACTAGGGAAGCAACAAGTTACAATTCAGGTTCAGGAACAACTCAGGATACAGTTCTTCAACCAGGACAGCTTCTCAGCCATGCCACAAGCATGCTTCTCTCTGGCCTTGGCCTCTGCCCTGCTCAGGTAAATGTTACAAAGCTGTTTTAGCTCTGCCAATAGCCACTCCTCGGAAGGAAGATGGGGCAATCTACTTCCATAGTGATACTGCCTTGGAAACCCAAGGAGGGGTCGCTATGTATTGGGTCTGACTGGACAGCACATAATAACAATAATAGGTGCCCAGAGAGGCACCCCACTTTGCCAGCAAGGCTCCAGCCTGAAGGCACTCAGCATTCTTGCTCTGTGGGCTGGGAAGCCTGCTGCTCTGTCTTGTGTGCCTCTTGGTTCTGCTGCCTCTCTCTACCACCTCTCTGCTGTCTCAGCAAAGTGTTCCAGCTCTCTCTCCTGGGTCAAGGAGGTCCAGCCCAGGAATCTCAGGTCCAAGGATGTGCTCTACTCCTATTCCTTTCTGTCTTTTTATGATGTGGGTGAAAGTTTACAGAGCAAATTGGTTTTCCAGTCAATAGTTCATACACATTTTGTTTTGTGACATTGATTGCAAACCCCATAATGTAAGTCTTCCCACTTCCTCCCTGTGATGACTTTTTCCCCATGTCCTTCTTTCTGTGTAGTTCTTCCCTCTGAGCTATCTCCCTGCACAAGTGCTGCCCTTATGATTTCCCATGGTTGGTTGTTCTAAGCAGTGTACCTACCTGGTAAATTGTTCACCTCCTAGGCCATCTTTTGTTTGGCTGGAAGTTAAGCCATAGGAGTGAGTTCAAATCCAGGGTGGGGGAAACACTGGTCTCTATCAGACCAGTAAACCTGGTCTTTTATATGATTTTGAATTTTGTTCCACATTTTTCTCCCACTCTTAAGTTTACACTTTTAAAAATAAAAACCAGCAAAGGCAAATTCTGCTTTTGCCCTATGACTTGCACCGTCTAGGCAAAGGGGCAGCCAGACTGACTTCCTAGAGCTGGGAAATGACAATGATGGAGAATGAAACACAAATAGCACCTCAACAAGTCTCCCTGCCACCCAGGCTCTGCTGAAAGGCTCTGAGGCTAGAGCTTCTCAGAAAGGCTCAGAGGGCCAACACTTTGCCTTCAGTGTTACCCCATCGTACTTGAAATTGAGTGGAAATTGGCAAACACTGCAATTTGGTGTGTCTCTTCCCACAAGTCAGTTGTTAAGTACTTACCAGCACACCACTGGGCAGCAGTCATGCCTATTAGCAACAGGAACCAGAGGGGCTGGACAGAAATTCAGAGTCAGAACAAAGCTAATGACAGTCTCTCTCCTTTGTCAACTTTATTTTATTAAAATATATGGACTGAATGTTGGTGGGTGCTGAGAACAGGAACCACTTCCCAGGTTGCACCCAAGGGAGACGCTTCTGCCATGCAGACATGCGGCCAGTTCGCTCCCACCCCACACAGTGTGGAGACAGATCCCTCCTGGATGGACACACAGCAAATCTGGTCCGAGGCCGAAGGGGGCAGGGCCTGGTGGAGCCCCTTCTCCCAGGGCCTTGGCTCCTTGAGAGAGCCGGGCTGGGGTAGAGGGGAGATCCCTGAGCCAGGGAAAGCAGATGCCCTCCTGGAGGGGGTGAGAGGGACCATGTCGGAACAGAGATAGGTATCAGTAGGTATCAGTGCAACTCTGAGGGGGAAGACCACCTGCACGTGGGTACCATGGGGTTCCCAAGGCCAAGCCTGACTGGGTTCCCACAGCCTCCTCCTTCCATCTTTCCTCCGAGGACCCTGCTCACCCTAGGCCAGCTGGCTTGTGCCTTCTGGGGGCCCAAGGGCCTTCTGGGGTCAGGCCTGAGCAGAAACAGGGCAGCAGCCGATGGAATGTATCATGTCGGAATGTTCCTCAGGGAGTCCTCTGGCCAGGTGGAAGAGCCATGTTTCCCCCTGGGCTGGCTTCCTTCTCGGGATGGCCTGTGGCAGGTGGAAGGCATTTTCCTCTCTCCTAGGCTTCTGTTGATCCTTACTGTTGGCTCTGGCTCCAGCTGACACTGGGCTCCATCCCACAAAGCAGAACCTACCTAGCCAGTCGGGTCCCCAGGGTTTGTGCTTTTGAGTGTTGGTAAGCTGGGCTGGGCTGGGGCTGGGCTTCAAGCCCCCACTGCTCTGTGGCACAGACTGACCCTGTGCTTCTTCCCTGTGGCCACCTGTATCAGGCCTGCTGGGATCCAGGCCTCAGCCCACCAAGAGGGCCTTGCTTCAGAAAAACTGTGTTCTTGGCTCCCCTGGTGGACTGTGGCCTGAGCTGCTGGGGTGCTTGTGCTTTTTATATGGGGCTAGGGTGAGCCTGTGCATGGGGCAGCCACACTGCTTCAGGAGAGTGGTGCTCAGTCAACCTGCTGAGCCAGGGATGAGGAAAAAGAAACCTCATCCCTAGGCCCAGCTCTGATCCTGACCAGGGCTCCCTGCTGCCAGCCTTTGAGCCTCTTGGCTTCCTTCTAGGGCCCAAGCAGACCTCTGGGTGAACAAATACTTGAGTCTGGAGCCTGAGGGGTGTGGGCAGCCCTACCCACCATACTCCCTGAGCCAGGACTGGGACAGGGAAGACTTCTCCTTGTCCCAATAGAAGTGGGAAACAGTTCCCCTCAGATTCTGCACCAAGAAACCCAACCCCTGAACCCTTAGAGAGAAGTCCAGGGCTCCCCTCAGATTCTGCACCAAGAAACCCAACCTCTGAACCCTCAGAGAGGAGTCCAGGGCTCTCCTCCTGACCTGAGGGAGACCCACAGTGGGCCTGTCCCGAGTAGGCTGAGCTTTCCAGGTCAGTGGAGTGGCGACCGTCCCCAGACCCAGGACAGGCATCCAGGAAGAAGCTGACTCTGCCTCTTTCACCACCTTTTTTCCACTTAGAACTGCCCTGGTCCCCAACCTGCCCCCTCCTGGGTCCTGTGGTGAGGGGCACTCTGGGGTTTAGGTCTGGGGGCAGAGGATATGGTTTTGGGGAGAAGGAGGGCTGCAAGGACAGAGGAGTCCCCAGAACTTGGCCCACAGTGTGGTGGGAAGAAGGGGAACTGGGAAGGAGGGGAGGAAGTGGGGTCCACACAAGAGGGTGCTGGCTTTGGAGACTGGGGTCTCCTCTGCAGAGAAACATGAACCTTTCCTGGAACAACCCAGCAGCCCATTGGCACACAGACACTGCTCTTTCTGCTGCTCACCCCCGAGGAAGTCTCCACACTGGCCTGAGGGATGGCTGGCCGGGACCTACGGCTCTCATCCCAGCCCCCAGCCAGACTCAGCCCTCCCAGATCTGTCTGTCCTTTGCCAGCCCAGAGGGACGGTGTGTGTGTGTGTCTGGAGTAAACAGTTCACTTTTTGTACATATGTTAGAAAAAGAGTTTTCCATGGAGGCTGCTCCCGGCAGGATGAGGTTTCTCTGGGGGTTGAAGTGGCATGGCCAGCCTGGGGTCCCCACATACATGTCCTAGATGACATTTTCAAACAGCTGCATGGAGCTCATGATGTTCTCATCCTGGGTGAAGAGAGGAGGATGGGAGGCCTGGTCAGGCAGCAGGTAGGGAGTGGTAGGGGGCACGTGCTCTAGTCTGACCCCACCCTGAGTATTCAGCATCCCACGGTGACTGCTGTCTCATTGGGGTGAGATAGGGGGTGCTGAGGAGCAGCGAGGGCAAGCAGCTTGCCTGGAACCATCTAGCTGGTAAGGCACAGCGCACCTTTAACCAAAATGCCTGATTCCATGTCTGATAAGATGGCAATACCTCCCTGGCCGCACACCCCAACAGAGAGGCCACCAGCAGTTGAGCAGTTGTGCCGGGAGTGAGGCCAGCAGCTCAGGCCAAAGGAGCCCAGTGACTCGCCCCTGGAAGTGGGCTCTGTAGAGGAGGGTCAGCAACAGTGCTGTGGGAAGCTTCAGAGGCTGTTTTCTCCAGCCTGACCTTTTCCTGAGGACCATAGGGACCAATCACCTTCCTGTTGGTGTGTGCCCCCTCTGACTCGAGACACTGCAATGGTAGGACTGAGGGACAGTGTACCTGAGTGGGCTGGAGCCTGGCAGGAGTGGGTAAGGGTGGCGTTGGGGAGGAGATGAACTTGGCCTAAGCATTTAACTGAAGCTTAGAGCCTCCTGTTCTAACCCGCCTCGGAGTGGGGGAGGGCCCAGAGATAGCTGATAGGCTGGCTGGGGCAAGGCTGGGTGTGTGAGGGCCCTGGTGGGTATGAGACCCTCAACCAGCCCTCTGGCTGGAGCCTACAGACGACTCTGCTCCAAGCTTTCTGAGGGTGCCTACCTTCTGACAGGTCTCCAGGAACTCATCAATGGTCACCACCCCGTCCTGATTCCGGTCCATTTTCTGCAACACAAGCCATGCCAAAGTGAGTCTGTGAACCACCAGGGATGGCTCCTGCCTCAGGGCCCAGGAAGTAGTTGTGGGTGGGCACGTGGGGCTGAGGCCAGGTGGTACCCAGCTCCATGCTTCCCACCACAGAACACCAAAATGTTATCCAACTCGTCCCCTCACCCCCTACCCTGGATCCAGGCCACATGAAGGCCCTTCCAAGCCCAATTTTGCCTCTACAGCTTAACTGTGTGGCATCTCCTCAATCTGCCCCCACCTCAGCCACTTCCCTGACTACCTACCTGGGCTTTTATGTCTCAGAACGTGCCCCCACACTCAGATGACCCTTTCACTTTCCTGACAGGCAACCAGGGCAGATGAAGCAACTGAGGTACAGAATGGCAACATGACTAGAGTCCCCCCAGCAAGCGAGGGGCTGAGCCTTCAGCCCTTTCACCCTGCATGGTGGTGGGCTTTCCCACTCTCACAGACTCAGGAAAAGTGAACTCCCTAACCTCGTTCCTCTGGCAGGAGTTTCTCTGTGAGAGCTAAAAGCAATCTTGAGATTGGGACATTGGCCTGGGGACAGGGTCAGCTGCCTGTCCTTTTGAGCCAAAACGCCAGCCTGCCCCTGAGATGTGGTTCAGGGGAGCTGGGATGGTATTTTTAATTCACTCCTCAGGGGATTCTGACAATCAGCCAGGTTTGGGACGCAAGTTTAACTCCCTTATAGGGGGAAGCTCAGAGAAGGGAAGTGGCTGGCCCAGGAATACCCCAAGAGCAAAAGCCCCTTCCTCTACCATGCTACCCTCTCCCTCACCCCACCCCGGGCCACCCTGGGCTAGAGTGCCCTCACCTGGAAGAACCGCTCCACGTGCTCCAGAGGTGCATCCTCCCGTAGGATGGGGTAGGTGTGGCGGCCCATCATGTCATAGATGGACTTCATGATGGCCAGCATCTCCTAGAGGGGGGCCAGAGGGGCCAGCATGAGGGAGCACCAGGTTCCCAAGGGGAAGACACTGCCCCCCAGGGTAGAAGGCACCACCAGGGGAGGGTGAGCAGGAGGAGCTGTGTGACTCAGACAGAGGAACATGCATCCAGCCAGACCAGAACTAGGGCCTTTGATTCTTCAAGAGAGGGTGAAGGTAGATTATTATGTTCAAGCTCCAAATTTTGAAACAGCACCAACTATGGGCTGTCTGTCCCCCAGGACCAGGTTAAGAGTCACATCTTTGGATGGGTAGGGGAGACAGGACAGATGGGGCTACAGGAAGGAAGAGAAGAAAGAAGAGTGTGGGGCAATAGAAGGAGAGAAGGGGCAAGAGGGCTGACACTCCCAGGCACTCCTTGGTACCTCTTTAGTGATGTATCCATCCTTGTTAATGTCATAGAGATTGAAGGCCCACTTGAGCTTCTCATGGACTGTTCCCCGCAGCAGGATGGAAAGGCCCACTACAAAGTCCTAAGGTGAGGAAGGAGGACAGGAGTGAGAATCCGATGCCCAGATTCTACTTACAGTTTGCCATGTGGCTTCCATTGAATTCTACAGAGGAAGAGCCTCCATACCAGACAGGGCAGATGGCAGCCATTAAGGTGAGCCCAGTGTGAGGGTGGTGGGGCTGGTATAAAGTGGCCAGCACTGATCTTCTCAAATGCAGATATCTGAATATATGGGGTCCTGAACCCTTTTAATCCACTGCTGGTGACAGAGAAGACCTGGAGGTCTTTAGTAAAGGGCGTGCTCTTATTCTAGTTGATCAAGCATGTGCATACCAAAGGTGACTGAAAACTCCCTTCCTCCTTTTAAAAGGCTAAATTAACAGTGTTCAGAGCTGGAGTCATGACATATTCTTGTGTTATAATCACCTCTGAAGTGTGACACAGGTAATTTATTATCACATGTCACTCATGTGACTAGTTATGGATACTCAAATGGTTTTAGTGTGGATACTTCAACTACTTTCTTATAACAGTTGGTGGAAGTAAGTCTTTCCCTCCCTTCCTGGGACATTTGGGGATTGAGCCCTGCATGCCCCATGGGGTTCTCCTGGAGAAAAGGGGAGCAGAGAAGGAGCATCCTAGGGAAGTGGGTGAGAAGAGGATGACCAGAATGCATAAGGACAGTGTGAGCACCAAGGGGCCTTAGTCGTCACTCAAATATTTGTCAGATTTTCTGGATCTGAGGAAGGCCATACCATGAGAGAGAAAGGGCAAGAAAACAGAGAAAGACATTTGGAAGAAGCAAAGACTATGTCAGGAGGAAAAAAAAAAAAAAAAAACTTAAAAATCAAAAGTTTTACTCAGAGATTAAAAATCTCACATCCCTAAAATAAAAACCAAAAACCAATAAAATAAAATAAACCCCAAACCAAACTCACTGCCATTGAGTCAGTTCCGACTCATAGCAACCCACACTGAGTTTCCGAGGTGGTAAATTTTTATGGAAGATTGCCCCATCTTTCTTCCTTGGAGCAGCTTTGAACACCAACCTTCTGGTTAGCAGTCAAATGCCTAAGGCTCTGTGCTACCAGAGCTCCAAAACAACAAGAGGATGCTCTATAGAAAAGAAATAACCCAGAGTAAGGAAGAGCTCTTGGGAATGAAAATAAGCAAAATGACAAACTCCAAGAAAGGGTTGAAAGAGCAAGCTGAAAAATCCCCCATAAAGTAGAGTGAAAAGGCAAAGAGCTGGAAAGTGGGAGAGAAAAGACAGGATGAGCAGTCCCTCCGGGGACTCCAATATTGGAACATCAGGAGTTCCAGGAAGAACCAGAGAACATGGGGAGGAAAGTGCCAAAGATCATGAAAGAAAATGCCCTGCAGTGGAAGGCTGCCAGCTTCCAGGTTCCACCTAGGGCCTAGCACTAGCACAAGGCTGTACAACAGTCGGCAGTTCAGGCTGCAGGCTCATATCATTATGAAATCTCAGAAAGCTGGGTCCAGAGAGAGGAGCCTATGAGCTTCCAGAGACAATGGGTTGGTAACTGCTGTTTTTCCAAAGCAAATCCTAGAAATCGATTGTTTTTTTTTAAGTCATGAGTGCATACAAGTGTATGCACCTATTTATTTATTTTTTCCTGTAACCCCTTTTTGTTTTTGTTTGTGGTAAAAAAAATATATAATATGACATTTGCCAGTTCAGCATTTCTTACATGCACAATGCAGTGACTGCCAAGTTGTGCAATTATCACCACTATCTGTTCCCAAGTTATTCCACCTCCATTAATAGAAGTTCAGTACCCCCTAAACAAAGACTTCCTATTTCCCCGTCTCCCCCAGTCCTTGTTAAACTGTTGCCCTGGGGTGAATTTTGACTCACAGCAACCCTACAGGACAGAGTAGAATGGCCCCATAGTGCTTCCAAGCCTATACATCTTTACAGACGCATCATTCTCCTAAGGAGTGGCTGGTGAGCTTGAACCACCATCTTTTCAGCTGGCAGCTGGGGACTTAACCACTACACCACTAGGGTTCTTTTTCCCTCAAACTCTCACTGCCATCGAGTTGGATCCGACTTATAGCAACCCCTCCTTGGGTTTCTGAGGCAGTATCACTATGAAAGTAGATTGCCCAACCTTCCTTCCAAGGAGTGGCTGGTGGGTTTGAACCTCCAGCCTTCTGGTTAGCAATCAAATGCCTTAGGCACTACGCCACCACAGCTCCCACTAATAAACTTTAGTTTCTAGACACTTGCCAACATGGAAATGTGATCATATAATGTCTGTCCTTTTGAATCTCACTTATTTCACTTAGCATGACGTTTTCAAGGTTCATCCATGCTGTAGTATGTATCCGGACTCCATTTCTCTTTTTGCATGAATAATACTCCATTGTATGTACGAGCTCTGATGGTGTAATGGATAAAGCATTTGGCTACTAACCTGAAGGTCAGAGGTTTAAACTCACCAGCTGCTCCACAGGAGGAAGATGAGACAATCTACTTCCATAAAGACTTAAAGCCTTGGAAACCCAGTGGGAGTTGCTACGAGTTGGAACTGACTTGATGGCAGTGGGTTTGGTTTTTTGGGGGTTATGTATGTACCACATTTTCCTTATCCATTCATCTGCTGATGGGGATTTAGGCTGTTTCACCATTTGGTTATTGTGAGTAGTGCTGTCTGGCGTACAGACTTCTTTTGTTTGGGTTCCTACTTTAAGTTCTTTTGTATATACCTAGCATTGGAATTGCTAGGTCATATGGTAATTCTTTGTTCAACATTTGGAGGAACTGCCAAACTGCTTCGTGAAAATAAAATAATTTTTTAAAAAGTAATGTTTCTTGCACCTGAGTTAGGGGAATAACAACAACAACAACAACAACAAAAACCCCACCAAACTCACTACCATTGAGTCGATTCTAACTCACAGTGACCCCTCCTTGGGTTTCTGAGGTGGTATCTCTATGGAAGTAGATTGACCCAATCTTCCTTCCAAGGAGCGACTGGTGGGTTTGAACCACCAGCCTTCTGGTTAGCAGTTGAATGCCTTAGGCACTAAGCCACCAGAGCTCCCAGTTTGGGGAATAATGATTATTAAAGCTTGAGGATGATTTAAATAGGTAGCAGAGATTCAAAGTTGTCCCTAAAATCCTGTCACACCCTCTTCCCTGAGATCTGACAGACTTTCGGGGGAGGAGGAGCAAAGATGGGGACTAGTGGGTGGAAAGTGCTGTATGAGACCCCCATCTTCTGGTGTGGACCACTGTCTTCTCCATCTTGTCTCTACAGACCGCTTCTTCAGCAGACACATGCTTGCCATGTTTGGGCCTGTCAGATGGCTCGTCTGTCTACTGCAATCAAGACATGTTCCCATTCAGTGCTCCTTAGCACATGTGAAAGGGAGGGAGAAAGGCTGTGGCTTTGTGTGGCACAAGTAAGTCCTCATTTGTAAAGGTGACACAGAAATGGCCCCAAGTCCAGCCAGCCCATGTCTAAGTGTACACTATTTCTAAATCCCTGGGCTATCCACAGCAATTTCACTGTATGACAACTGCGTGTTTTAACTCATTGCTCTTAACTCTGCAGTGTGCAGAGCCTATCATCTACATTGCCCATGGGGCCCCTGGAACTGGCCCAGCTCCTACCCTGTGGCTCTCCTCAAGGCAGGGCCCAGGTAGGGTGAGGAATGCAATGATACAGTGAGACCTTGGTTTCCACACTAAGACACCTGAAGTACACACGTTGGGTACCTGGTAGAGCCTACAGGAGGAGCTCAGTGACTTAAGTGGAAGGTGTAGTAGTTATTACAGGGATGCAGGCAAATCATTCTGGTTGCTGCAGACTGCTTCTTCAGCAGACACATGTCCGCTATGTTTGGGCCTGTCAAATGCCGGTTAGGTGGAGGTCTGCCTTGGTCACTGGGCACAGAGAAAGGTTGACCGCTGCAGCTTGAGAGAGCAGAGAGGCAGCCACACCCTCCAGACCTGTGCCTGGCCTCCAGCTGGGCAGCCTGGCTTTATCCACCAACATTCTCCATACAGGTAATTCTTGCTTTCACAGTAGTTATGTTCTGTAAAGTCACCGTGAACACTGAATTAGAAAATACCGAGCCTTTGCTTCCAGGAGGAATACAAGGTTAAGTTCCTGCCACATTTCCATCAACCAATCAATATATAACCTTGTTTTATGTGTGTTTCTGTTTAAAGACACCTTATTTAATATGTACTGCTGATTCATTAACATTGAGCTCACAGCCAACAGCACTATAACTCATGCCTGAATGAGGCTTACCTAACATGTATTTTCTCTGTAAGGCACATCACAGCCTTCTTATACTTAGGAGCTAGACAGCACTTCAGCGCTGCACTTGAGGGACGTTTTAAATAACAAAATTGCAACAAGAACAAAAATGCAAAAAAAAACGTGGCACTAAATAGACGGCAAAAAAGGACAGTATGAGCTGAAACAAGAAGGCAGAGCGTCCCCTTTTTCAAGCTCAGCTGGGAAATAGCATGCAGGCTACTCAAATTTCTCACTGCTCTGCGCATGTCTGTGCATGACCACGGAAGTGCTGTATTATTTGGGGCTTACAAATAAATTTTAGTCAGTACGTGAATTTGCAGATACGGAATCTGCATGTAATGAGGATGAACTGTGATAAGTTTTTAAACTTTGCACCCTGCTGACAAGACAACTTGGTTGAATTAGGAAGGTCCTGGGTGGCACAGAGTGTTGACAAGGCACATCTGTGAGCATCACCATGACCAGGCAGAGGGAGGGCCGGCACCAGGCTCTCTCCTGTTCAGATCTCAGTAGCCCCCTGAGGACGAGTGGCCAGACTCTGAGCTGTGACGTGCATGCTTGTCTCCAACTTGACTCCTGTGAGGTTTGCTTATTTTCCCTCTGACTTTTGGTATTCGTCTTTGGTGAGGAGAGGGAAGTTACCATATAAGTAAACTAATTAATGTGTCTCATCTCTCAGTAATATATAAAAAGGATCGGGATAACTGTCAATCTTGATGAGCTGACTTGTCTTTCTGTTTGAAGGGCACATTGAAAGGCTGAGGTCTGGCAGTGAGGAAGGGCTGAGTGTCCTTGATGCTTCCAAATATACCCAGGACCAGGTTTTGTGCCCCCACCCCCAGGCAAAGGAGTCTCTAGGTGGTGCAAATGGTTAAGCACTCAGCTACTAGCTGAAAGGTTTGCAGTTCGAATCCATTCAGAGGCACCTCAAAAGAAAGGCCTGGTGACCTACTTCTGAAAGATCACAGCCACTGAAAACCCTATGGAGTAATTCCATGCTGTTGTGCATGAGGTCACCATGAGTTGGAACTGACTCAACAGCAATGTTGTTTTTTTTTTTTTCCTGTCCCCAAGGCAGGCTCCTTCTTGACCACTGGGATCCCTACCTGTGCTTCAGGTTCACAACAAAGACAGGGCTGAGCTGGTTAGGAGGTGGGGGGACCTTTTTACCTCTTGGGAAAAAGGCTGCTGTAGAACCAAACTGAAACAAAACCTGTTGCTGTCAAGTCAGTTCTGACTCACAGGGTAGAACTCTATGAATGGAGTAGAATTGTCCCATACGGTTTCTAATGCTTAATATTTCTGGAAACAGACTGCCCTATCTTTCTCCTGTGGAAAAAGCTGGTGAGTTCAAAGTGCTGAACTTTTGGTAAGCAGCCAAGTGCTTAAACACTGCACCACCAGGACTCCTTATTGTAGAGCCAAAATCAAAAATCAAACCCACTGCTATCAAGTCAATCCAACTCATAGAGACCCCTATTGGGTTTCCAATGGGGCAGTAAATCTTTATGGAAGTAGATTGCTCAGTCTTCTGTGGAGTGGCTGGTGGATTTGAACCACCAACCTTCTGGTTAGCAGTCAGAAGCCTTAAGCACTGTGCTACCAGAGCTCCTTTATTGTAGAACAGAGCACTTGAAATCAAGATCCTCAGGGTAAACACATGGGTATTAAATCAGAGTAATTTCACGTGCAGAGAAACACAGGTAGAGATAATGCCTTTGTAGTAATTTCCAGGCCAAATATGAACTACTTTCTGAGATGGTGTCTAGCAGAGGGCTTCCAACTGGTGCTCCCAACTTAGCCAATGGTAGCCCCTCCCCCACCTTAAAGGGACCACAGAATGGTCGACTCCATGGCAGTGAGTTTGGTTTGGTTTTTTGGTATGCCTGTGGTTATAATCCCGTTTGGGAATGTGCTGTCTTTGTTATATTAATGAGGCAGGGTTAGTACAGGGACATTTTGAGTCAATCTCTTTTTGAGATATAAAAGAGATTAAATTAGCAATCAATAGAAGAGAAGCAGGGATAGGGTAAGATACATGGAGATCTTCAGGGAACCAGAAGACAGAAGCTGAAGAGACAAGGACCTTCCTCCAGAACCAGCATAGAGAGAAAGCCTTCACTAGAGCCAGTCCTCTGATTTCTGTGGATAGTGAAGCAATGGCAACAAGGAGGTGACAGGGACATTCTTGAGCTTTGCTAAACTATTAAATTATATAATTTCTGAACTTCACACCCATTAAGATACCAAAAAACCAAATTTACTGCCATGGAGTCAATTCCAACTCAGAGCAACTTTCATTGGGTTTCCGAGGCAGTATATCTTTATGGAAGTAGATTGCCCAGTCTTCCTTCCATGGAGCAGCTGGTGGATTTGAACCACCAACCTTCTGGTTGGCAGTCAAATGCCTTAGACACTGTGACACCAGAGCTCCTTACCCATTAAGACAGCTATAATTAAAAAAAACAGAACACAACAAATGTTGATGAGGATGTGGAGAAACTGGAACCCTTATCCATTGCTGCTGGGACTGTAAATGGTGCGGCTGCTGTGGAATACAGTTTGGCAGTTCCTTAAAAAGTTAAACATAGAGTTACTGTATGATCCAGCAATTCCATTCCTAGGTATATACCAAAAATAACTGAAAGCAGGTACATAAACAGATCCTTGTACACCAATGTTCACTGCAGCATTATTCACAACAGCCAAAAGATGGAAACAACCCAAATGCCCATCAACAGATGAATGGATAAACAAAATGTGGTGTGTGTATACAATGGAATCTGCTCAGCCATAAAGAGAAATGAAATCCTGATACAAGCCACCTGATACAACATGTATCTTAGTTGTTTAGTGCTGCTATAACAGAAAAATACCACAAGTGGATGGTTTTAACAAACAAAATTATTCTCTCACAGTTTAAGAAGCTAGGAGTCTGAATTCAGAGGACTGGCTCTAGGGAAGGCTTGCACTCTATGCCGGTTCTGGAGGAAGATCCTTGTCTCTTTAGCATCTGTTTTCTGGTTCCCTGGAGATCCTCCATGTATCTTATCCCATCTCTGCTTCTCTTCTGTTGATTGCTAGTTTAATCTCTTTTATATCTCAAAAAGAGATTGACTCAAAATGTCCCTATACTAACCCTGCCTCATTAACATAACAAAGACAGGACATTCCCAAATGGGATGATGACCACAGGCATACCAAAAGTCCAAACCAAACTCACTGCCATGGAGTCGATTTGACTTATAGTGGTCCCTCCTCAGGTTTCCAAGGCGGTATCTCTACAAAAGTAGATTGCCCAATCTTCCTTCCAAGGAGTGGTTGGTGGGTTTGAACCGCCAGCCTTCTGATTAGCAGTCAAATGTCTTAGGCACTATGCCACCAGAGCTCCACAGGCATAGGGATTAGGATTTACAACACATTATTTTGGAGGGACACAATTCAACCCGTAACAACATGGGTGAACCCTGAAAGCATTATACTGAGTGAAATAAATCAAAATGAAAAAACTGAAGAAAAAATGTCATATAATTCCACTTATATGAAATATCTACAATAGGCAAGTGTATACACACATATGTTTATTAGTGGTTACCAAGGGCAGGACTTGTTAGGTGCTGTTGAATCGCTTCCAACTCATAGTGACCCTGTGTACAAGACAATGAAACACTGCCCAGTCCTGCGCCATCCTCACAATCATTGCTATGTCTGAATCCATTGTTGCAGCCACCGTGTTAGCCCATCTCACTGAGTTGTTGTTGTTGTTGTTGTTTGCCATCGAGTTGGCCCCGACCCATAGCGACCCCTCCTTGGGTTTCCGAGGCAGTATCACTACGGAAGTAGGAATGCCCAACCTTCCTTCCGAGGAGTGGCTGGTGGGTTTGAACCGCCAGCCTTCTGGTTAGCAGTCAAGTGCCTTAGCCACTATGCTACCAGAGCTCCTATCTCATTGAGTATCTTCCTCTTTTTTGCTGATTCTACTTTACCAAGCATGATGTCCTTCTCCAGGGATTGGTCCCTCCTGATAACGTGTCCAAAATACATGAGACACAGTTTGACCATTCTTGCTTCTTAGAAACATTCTGTCTATACTTTGTACTTTGTTCTTCTGGCAGTTCTGCACCCACACCGTAATTCAAATGCATCAATTCTTCTTCAGTCCTCCTTATTCATTGTCCAGCTTTGACAATGATATGGGGCAAGTGGGAGGGGGAAAAAAGAGAACTCACTGCTTAGGGAACACTAAGTTTTTGTTAAAGGTGATAGAAAAATTGGAAACAATGATGATGGTTGTACAACATGATGATATAAATAATGTCACAGAATTGTGCATGTGAAGTATGCTGACATGACAAATGTCTCTCTCTATATATAAATGAAGAAAAAACAAAAGCCACCAAACAAAACCCTGGGTGGGTCTTTCACACACTTTATTTCAAGAAGTCTCAGTTGCCTCTTAAAGGTACACAACTTCTCATAGGGAAGGGGGCAGGGGAGGGCAATGCATTTCCATTGCTTAGTTCTTTGTACTGACCAGAATTTTTACTACATGCATGTGTCACTTACAATAAAAACTATGAAACCACAGTATGTTTACACAGTAACAGCCCCAAACATGGGGCCTAGTGTGCATTGGTGGGGCTGCCGCAGTCAGAGAGAACCCTGCGGGGCCTTCGCTGTGCCCACCCCGCCTCGTGTCAGTGTGCCGCCCTCACAGCATAAAAATAACCTGGCAGCTTTATTGATGTGGTTATTATTACACCACAGCTCATCCAGGGGCTCCGTCACTTTCCTGTCAGCCGCCCTTGACCCTGGAATCTGAGCTGGGTGGGATATTGATCAGCCCCGGCTCTTACCAAGGTTTTCCTCTTTGAAGAGGTTTCAGCTATTGGTCTCCAGCTATTTTTAGGCACCTGGGCTCCACTAGGGAGGAGGGGCTCTCTCCAACAATCTTGTGTGGCCAGGCCTGGGTGGAGACCCAGAGGCACTAGCACAGAGAACCCCAGACTAAGCTTTGGCTCTCTCCTGGGGGCAGGACTCTCCTTCCTGACAGGGCCTACTAGGCTTGGTTGACAGGGCCCAGATGGGGGACTCCCTGCAGCCTGCAAAGACTGGGATGCTCTGCCTGTTTGGGGTATAAATTCTGGGCTGGGTGCCTGAAATCCCACCATTAGCAAGCCTCGCCTTTGAGTTAAGCCTCACTCCGTTTTAAAATGCAAATTTATCTTGGGTTACTAACACTTCAGTGTTCATCAGTAGCTCCCTTTGCTGGGTGGGGCTGGACACAAATGCTTAGAATGGAAGAAAAGGCTGAGATAGGGAGACTAGACAGCAAAAATGAACTTCACTGCCTTCACGGTCAGGCCCAGGGCCAGCCCAGCACAGTCCACTCATCCCCCAGGTAACACACTTGACAAATTACACCCAAGATCCTGTCTAAGCCTCTCAGTAGCCCTGAGAAGGTGGCAGGCAGGGAGCTCACCCAGGCCCTCCTTCCCAGGAGCCAGCAAGCTGCAAGCAGGGGATGTGGAGGGGGTCAGGAGGGACCTACCTCGAAGCGGATGGCCCCATTCCCGTCGGCATCAAAGGCATTGAAGAGGAAGTGTGCGTAGGTGGTGGCATCTGGGAAGAGTGAGGGTGCATTTGGGCCTCCTGGCAGCCCTTGCCCCCACCCAGGCATCTCCACCTGGGCCAGTCCCAGCTATGTCCTGAGTGGGAGTCCTCCCTTCCAGTGGGATGGAGGTGGCACCAGGCCTCCCGCCGAAGGGTAAGGCAGAGGGGAAGGTAGAGGTGGAGATGAGGCCCCCTCCCTGCCCTATGTCCCAGGGTAGAAGGGACACCCACCCACTGCAGATCTGCCACACTGTGGGGGCTTCCAGAGGGGCCACGGGAGCCTGGCTTCAGACTCACCTCCCTGAGGAAAGAACTGTGAGTAAATGAGTTTGAAGGTATCTTCATCCACCAGGCCTGTGGGACACTCCTGCAGCAGTAAGGCACCCCCTCAGCAACCTTGGTGCTTCCCCTGGTCCATGACCCAATGCCAGGACTTTGCAGGGGCCTGGCCTCTTTCCTCCCTCTGAAGGATGCTCACTGCCTGAGGCACTGCTGGGCTCCACTTAACTTCCCACTGGGAAAAGGCTGGGGGTGGGTGTGAGGGCAGAGGGAAAGGAAAGAAGGGGAGAGGTAGGAAGGGGATGGCTGGCCCCTCATGCTAAACTGGTGCTTCTAGACACTCTCATCCTGTGCCAGCATTGGTGACATGGGGAAAAGTGCACAGGGCCTTCAGAAGACCAATTCTGGGGCTTACTCCTCCCTCCAGACAGCTGTCCCACAAAAGGCACCTGGGGTATTTACTGTGCCTTGGAGGTTTCTAGAGGGTCCCTCCTCCTGTCTGGTCAGGCTGGGGTTTGCAAGGCCTCTCCCAGGGGCAAGGGGAGCACTCACGTTCTTGAAGCCCCTATAGAGGGACTGCAGCTCTTTCTTGGTGAACTTGGTCTGTGCCTGCAGCTGGTCCAGTCCCTCTGGCTGGTGACGCACCGTGGACAGCTCTAGCTCACTGTCGCTGCTGTCTGGAGAGGACACAGATCCAGGAGGATGAGACAACAGCCCCTCCTCCATTTCACCACAGGGCTCAAGTGACTGAAGTAGAGGAGGGGGACTTGCTTGCATGACATTTGGCTACCCAGGCCTTGCTTGCATGATGACCACATCTGGCTAAACAGGCCTAGCATGAGGCAGAAGGAAGGGCTACATGGGAGCAGTACCCCAGGAGTTGTGTCTCATGGCTGCCTTGCTTCCCTGCTGCTCACACAGACAGAAATCTCCACACTTGCCTCAATAGTGCCCATCTGTGAGGCACATGGTGGGATAAGGGTGAGAGCTGGTCCTGTCCCAGAGAGAGAGTGAACCTGGGGAGGCAGGAGGACAAAAGACAGCAGACAGGCACAAAGGATCCTTGACCTTAAAGACCCAATTCCCAGGCCACCTCTTCTGGGTAGCCTACCTACTTAATATTCTCTCAGGAGTGGGGAGGACACCCCTCTTGGCCCATGGAAGTTTTTTTTTTTTTTTTTTTTTAAAGCCACAGTTGCCCTTATACATAAACATTGCTCCACATCCTACTTTGGTGAGTGTGACTGGGGTCTAAAGGCTTGCAAGCGGCCATCTAGATGCAACAATTGGTCTCTCCTCATCTGGATCAAAGAAGAATGAAGAAAATCAAAGACATATGAAAAGTATTAGTCTGAGGGACTAGTTGACCATGTAAACTGCATCCTATATGACCACGAGACCAGAAGAACTAGACAGTGCCAGTTACCACTGTCAACCGAAAGGCATCAATCAGTGCAGGAGATCCTGGATAGAGTGGAAGCATAATGTGGAACAAAACTCAAAATAATAAAAAAGACCAGGTTTACTGGTCTGACAGTGTGGTGAAACCACTGAGACTAGCCCCTAGTTACCCTTCAGGCGTGGAACTGAACTCACTCTCGTGGCTTCCAGCTAAATAATAGATAGGCATGAGCTGAACATTTACATCAGGTAGATACACTCCTTAGAATGATCAACCATGGGTGATCAGAAGAGCAGTATTTGCACAGGGAGATAGTTCAGAGGGTAGGAATGCATAGGAAAGAAGGACACAGGGAACAGATAATCACAGGGAGGAAGTAGGAAAAGAGCTGTTACATTGTGGGGATTGCAGTCAATGTCATGAAACAAATGTTTATAAACTGCTGCATGAAAAATGAATCTACTCTGTAAACATTCACCCAAATCACAATTTTTTTTAAAAAAAAAGTTGCCCTATAGTCAAGTCCAAATCATGGCAGAGTTTTTTCAATGGCTGATTTTTCAGAAGCAGATTACCAGGCCTTTCTTCTGAGGTGACTCTGGGTAAACGTGAAATGCCAACCTCTTGGTTAGCAGGGAGTGCATGACCATTTTCGCCACCCAAGGACTCTATGGCAGGCTTATGTGCTTCTGTTTAGCTGCATTTGGTAGAGGTGGGGGTCATTTTGAATAGAGGGTCAGACAGCAGACCTTTCCTTTATAAACAACGTGACAGAATGTTGACTAGATTACTCAAGGTTATCATTGAGATGAAATTTCAGTGCTCTTTATTTACTTATTTTACACTTTCATCATTTCTTTTGGTAGGGTATTCATCACTTTTATAACACAAAATAAAGCTACAGACAAGCAGCATTAAGAACCTACACCTTGCAGAGCAGCATGCTCACAGAATGACGGGACTTCACCTTCCCACTGCACTATTACTACACCTAGCCTCCTTTGCACTGCAGAACTGGGAGTCCATGAATCTGCACAGCTATTTGCCTTTTGCTGCTTTGCCCACTGCAGGGGAGCTCTCAAATGCCTCACTGCACTGCTTAGTGCTATGGTTGCAGCACCTGGCACTGTGCCCAGCACTGCTCAACCTGAGCCTGTGAAGTCCTGCACTGAGCCTGCTCACCTTCTCTGTGCCCTGGGCTCTCCATGAGCATGGTAGAAAGTCACAGCCTGCACTGCCCCCTTGCTCTAACCTCAAGTGGTCCCTGGAAGCTGCCAGCAATCAGGCTCTGTTTCCTTGGTCCCTGTACTCTCCTAATCTCCTAGATAAGGATTTCATACCTTCCTTCCTTTTTTAAACAGCCAGTATCTCCTCCCTCATTCTTACTCTCAGATTGCTTCCTACTTGATTGAGAAAACAGAAGCTGCAGAAGAAAATCTCCCCAAGTTCTTATCACCACATCTTCTTACCCACCCACCTGCATCTGGCCCAGGATGACACCACTTTCCCTCTCTTTCTGTGGATGAACTGTCCCTGGTCCTGACTGAGGTCAACCTTAATAGCATGTACTCACAGTGATTCTCAACAGCCTCTCCTCATTATCATTTCTTCCCATCTTTCTGGATCATTCCCACTAGCACACAGACATACTGTCAAATCCAGCAATACTTAGTGAAATTAAGAATAGGCCAACCCTGTAAGCCAGCAATTCCACTCTAGGTAAACTATCCCAAACAGATTCTTTCCCCTTCATAAGGGATCCTGTATAAAGAAGTTCACAATAACCATATTTATGATGGGGGAAGTTGGAGACAAGCCAGGGGTCCATTTCAGAGAGGAGATGGAAAAATATGAGGGATGCAAACCAAGGAGAACTATGCAGTGATTAAGTACACATAGCAGCATGGATGGATGTTAAAAATAAGGTGATGCTTATTTGAATTAAAAACAAGACCCAATTATATGTTATTTATAGAGTCTCTAGGTGGTAGGCTGGCAGATCAAACCCATCAGCCACTCCTTGGAAGGAAGGTTGGGTAATCTACTCTTGTAGTGAAACTGCCTCAGAAACCCAAGGAGGGTTCACTATGAGTTGGGTCTGACTCGATGGCACATAACAGCAACAACAATAGGTGGTACAAATAAACAGTTAATGTACTTGGCTTCTAACTAAAAGGCTGATGGGTCCAGCCCACCCAGTGGTACTTTGGAAGAAAGCCCTGGTGACTTACTTCTGAAGAAGTAGCCACTTAAAACCCTATAGAGCACAGTTCTACCATGACATGCATAGGGTCGTCATGAGTCAGAACTGACTTGATGGCAACTTTTTCCTTTTTTTCAATTACATATATATTATATATATATATATATATATAATCTAATAGGAGCTCTGGTAGTGTAGTGCCTAAGGCATTTGATTGCTAACCAGAAGGCTGGAGGTTCAAACCCACCAGCCACTCCTCGGAAGGAAGACTGGGCAATCTACTTCCGTAGTGACACCACCTCAGAGACCCAAGGAGAGGTCGCTATGAGTCAGATCCGACTCAACGGTAGTGAGTTTGTTTTCTTTTTTTTTTTTGGTTTTATATACCTAATAACACAGGGGCTGGTGGCGTAGTGCCTAAGGCATTTGACTGCTAACCAGAAGGCTGGCAGTGCAAACCCACCAGCCACTCCTCAGAAGGAAGATTGGTCAATCTACTTCTGTAGTGATACCACCTCTGAAACTCAAGGAGGGGTTGCTATGAGTTGAGACTGACTCGACAGCAGTGAGTTTGGTTTGGTTTTATACCTAATAATGGAGCTTTAAAATACCTCAAGCAAAAAAATTAAGAACTATAGGGGAAAAAATAGATAAATCCACAATCATAGTGGAAGATTTTACATCTCTTTCTCAGTAAATAATGCAAGTAACAATATGAAAGATTTGAAAAACCGTCAGCCAATTTGACCTAATTGATATTTATAGAACTCTATACCCAACAACTGTAGAATATACAGTCTTTTCAAGAACACATGGTAATGTTTCCAAGATACACCAGATGCTGGGCCATAAAACAAGACTTTGACTACAGCAACATTAAAATAAAAATATAAACAATAAGATATTTAGAAAAATCTCAATTATTTGAAAATGAAAGAACATACTTCTAATTAAATCCTAAGTCAGAAAAGAAAGATCAGAAGAGGACTTTAAATTGAATTGAATGAATGATAAGAAAAACACAGGATATCAAAATTTTCTGGATGCAAGTAAAACTATGCTTAGAGGAAAATTGACAGCATTTGTTTCACAAATGATTTAAGCTTCCATCTTCAGTATCTAGGAAAAGAGCAAATTAAGCCCAAAGTAAGTAGAAGAAAGGGAGCTCTGGTAGTGTAGTGCCTATGGCATTTGACTGCTAACCAGAAGGCTAGCGGTTCAAATCTACCAGCCACTCCTTGGAAGGAAGACTGGGCAATCTACTTATGTAGAGATACCACCTTGGAAACCAAGGGGTTGATATGAGTCAGATCAGACTCGACGGCAATGAGTTTGGTTTGGTTTGGTAAGTAGAAGAAAGAAGGAGACTGAATAGGCAAGTCATAGACTGGGAAAAGTTATCTATAGTACATGTATCTGACAAAAGACTTATATCCAGAATATATTATATATATACATAA